GCACAACAATATCGAGCTCAATTTTTGATATTCAATCGTGTTGCTGAACAGTCACAGCATCTTATTGATGAGGTTAGCTACCCAATATTTTCCATGCTTTGTAAGAACTGCAAAGATTTGTTCCGCTCAACTATGCAAATATTGTATGTGGTTCTGTAATGAAATATTTCTGAGGAACTTCCTGGTTATCTTATAAAATTCGAATTCTTTTCTTTTCTAAATGTCGTGAGATTTTCTCACACGAGGTGCGCTCGAACATTGCTATGCCAAGCAAGCACTAAGAAACACAAGGCCCTGAATGTAGGCTTCAGAGACATCCTCCCTTATCCTAAGGGTAATTAGGGACTGTATCTCTCTAAGTAATTAATGGATATTAATGTAGCAAAGGGCAACGGCTTCACTTGAAAGTCAGTTATATTAATATCGAATGGAAGTGGAAGGCACCTTGCATATTCTCAAAGGGCAAACCAGTCGATTTATCATTTCGCCTTTCATTTTAAAAGCTGTTTTATTCCAGGTCAAACTACGGACGGAACTGACGGTTCCATCTCGCTTAGTAGGTAGAATCATTGGCAAAGGTGGTCAAAATGTCAGGGAATTGCAACGTATCACAGGAGCTTCGGTAAGTTCGACTTTTAGTTTCTTTCATTCATGTGTTGTTTGTAAAAATGGCTTGTACGATAAAACTGGTAATCGTTGAAGGTGAAAATCCCTGAGGATGAACCTAAAGTAGCCGATCCCACTGCTCAAGAGGAAGCGAAAGAAGGTCTGTCGAAAGGTTTCACGCACACTAATTCTTTTCTTTCTTTTACTTCAGTTAATCGTGCCTCAATTATTTTCGCACTATTCCAGGTTCATCATCCCCCTCACCAAGCGATAGTGGTACCGTAGTGCGAATTGTAGGAAATTTCTTGGCTACTCAGAGCGTGCAGGTCCGCATTGGACAACTCATCGCTGACTTCCAACGCGCTACAAATCTACATGGTGATAGGCGCAAGGAAGAGCCACAAGGTTTGCCAAGTAACGAATTGCCGGTTTGGTTAGATTCAAGTTACCTATGGGTATTGTTGAAGTAAACACACAATGATCCGTTGCGCATTTCCCATTTGAATAACTCGCTCGCAAAATCTAGGAAAAGTCTTTCGTTCCAGAATTGTGATTGAGGGTTAGAAAGGGTGTTGTGTGCCGTGAACAACTGTACGGTTAGTTTTTCATTAACCCAATATGCTATGTAGATAGCGTTTTTGTCGAGAGTTGAGAGGTGGGGCATACAGAAGAGCAATCTTTGGGTAAAAAATGGGAGTGTGCTCATCCTCGAAGGTGATGAGTTCGCTTGATCAAATGTTTGCATATTTTTGTAGCTTGTCCAGAAAGTAATGCGAGTTATTGACATCTAAAAAACAGAACATTTCGGCACAAACTACTCATTTTCATTCAGAACAAAAACCATTGAAGGCACCCATGTGCGATACTAGGAAACCTACTCATTTTCCATCTGCTTGAAGCTGGGGAGTTATGAATTGAGGAGGTTGCGAATCTCGCTTCAGTTTCCAAATTGGTTCTTACCCAAAAAAATTCAAGGTGGTTGAAAAAGAGGACAGTTGTAAGTTGTCCGGTGGGCAGCGTTAGAGGCAATTTCATAAGGTAATTCTTACGGTTCTTGCGAAGCCGATTTTTGGGCGCTAGGCCGTGCTTCATAGACAGCAAGTTCCACAAATATTGAATGCAGACCTTCATAATTCCTGTGCACATTGTTGGTAT